ATATAAATATAAGATGATATAAGATTGCAAACGCAGAAGTCTTATTTCTACTAGTTGTTATTCTTAATTTGTTAGAGTTGAAAAAAATAAAAATTGGCTTTGTATTAAAAAGAAAAAAAGAAATAAGCAGAAATATATTATTCAGGCACATTAAAGATATCTTATTCGTTAGTTACATATAAATTATTTGATCAGTAATTTATAACATTTTAAAATTGTTGCTTCAAATTATCTTAACTATGTCTACAGATTATCAATCATTACAAAAAAAAAAAACATTACATTATAAATGAAAAAAGAAAACTTTCTCAAGAATGTAAAAGTTTCAATTATTTTTGTAATATTAGTTATTTTTTTCCGTATATATTTCAAAAGAAAAATAATTTTGTTATTATTTATTTATGGGAAGCGAACTTCTTCGTAACAACCAATTCAATTACATTATCTACGAAGAAAAAGGCAACATAAAAACTTTTACATTAGCTATTTTGCGATACTCTATTTTCTTCTTTTATATTGCTTAGAACTGCTCGTGATTCTTTATCTTCGGTATTGTGACGCGATGGTGCCCATCTCGTGGGACTTAAATGCCTATCTCTATAGACGACTAAAAACTCGCCAAGTTCAGGTCGAGAAAGTAGAAGGATAACTGCCGTGGCGTCCTGCCGCCAGGATAACGGTAATACCCGACAGTAAAGGAAATTACTATTCTCTCGGCTAAAGGTTTCCAACAGTGAGCGAAAACTGCAACGAAAACTGAGCTAACTAACGCTTTGCGCTCTTTTGTGTTATTGCAAAGGCCATATTTATATGGATATACGTACAATTGCAAAGACAAACAAAATAAGATATAATTGATGAAAAATCCTGATACAAATATGTATATTTGAATAAATTTTACGTTAATTATATTTTAAATGTAATTAAGATTGTGAAAATAATTCTGATATTACAATATACGTGATTATTGGAATGTGTTTCATAGGAAATAAAATTATACTTTTTTATACAAACATTATAATCGGAATATCATTATAACGGATATAATAATATCCCGCATTTAAACAGGAAATCCCGCATTTCTAATTAAAAGAGATATTTAATAATTAAAAGAAATGTTACATAAATTTATCTTAACAATGTAAACATTAACATCTTTAAAGATTGTACTATGTATCGTGTCATTTCTCCTTTCTTAAACTATTCATCTAAAGTTGTTATAATATTCTGATTGTCGAGTATCATTTATATTCATATCATCTGATATCGGAGTCAAACTGCGTCGCGACAATATGCTCATGTCGTTCCTGAAAAGTATTTCTCTGAAATATTTGTTTTATATATTTATACGACACAAAAGAAATATTCTTCACAAAACTATATACATATATATATGAAAGGAAGATAAAACGATGTATATTTTATGATTAAAGAGAATATCGGAGCTGTTTGTTGGAAGTTCACATATGCATTTTTACTATTTAATGTAACGTATAAATCTTTTTCAAAACTAGTATATATATCTTTGCTGATCTATTATTTCGCAAACACATAAATTTATAGATCTTTGGTTTCGCAGACTGTTTAACTTCTTAGACACTTGGATTTATAGATTTCTTATTTTTCAGATCCTGTACGTAGCATTTTAGATTTTTGATCTCGAAACATTTTCCTTCCTCCCTCGAACACTTGGATTAACTTAGGAATTTGATCCTTTTGTACAATGTTATAAGAAAAGTATAATAATGAATTTAATATTAAGTTATATTTGACAGTAAATTAATTTGATTCATTTAACGTTCAACAGTAAATTTGAATTTAATCCACGAGTTGTTGTTACATAACGTCGTGTCATTTCTTCGCGGAAAGTGTCTATTACTCTTTGGTCTTCCGGAATGTTTGACGCGGCGCGCAAAAGAAGTAATACGAAGGTTTCAGAGAGCGCGAGGATCGTATTTAGATGCTTTTCCCTCTTTCACCGCGGCAAAACAAGAAAACACTTTCAGAAAACCTCGACGAGGTGGCTGAGCAGTCAAAGAGAGGAAAAGTACTCGTGCCGGGAAAAGTAAGTTCGTTTCGTCGAACAATGCTCTCGGAAAATAGCACGTGCGGCAACAATTTGCGAGCAATAATTATGAAAGATGTTTATTCCGGACGGAGGGATGAAAGAGAGCGGAGAGGGGGAAACTCGCACAACACCGAACGAGCTTGAGAATCACACCTGGATATGCTTTCGCGACTGTCGGTCTGTCACGACGCATAGAGACACTTTTCTATGTATTATAAATTATACGCGAGATGCCAGAACAGGAGGACATGAGAAAACGCGAGATGGTGTTGCTAAGAAACGGCACGACGCGCGAGTGCAACAAAACTTTTCGCAAGATCGTCATCCGCAACGCGGAGAAGGGCACGTTATATTTATGCAAAGCATAGGATATCGAGGGAAATGGAGGAGAATTTTAAGTTAGATATAAACAGACGCGGAAAGTTTGCCATAGAGACACCTTCCTCTCCTTCTCGTCGATGGAAGTTATGCGCTTCCTCGAGAAACGTAATTTCGAAACGGTAAACTCTCAGCGACAAATATGAATAAAGCGAAAGAGATTAATGATTATAAATGAGGGAGTTAAATCATTATCAAATAATATACATTATTTAGAGATAATAATCATAATAATCATAATACACTTTCAAAAGTGTTTAGAATTTTTAGAAATTAGAATTCTATTATAGTCTCTTTATTATTTATGATGTACATAATTTTTCTTTTCTGACAAACAAAATATATTTATAAAATAGATCCTGAACACTGAATTATATCCTATTTTGAAATAAATACATCTATTGTTCTCGAGTTACATGATTCAATCTGAAAAGAATTATCGATAGTTAAAGCGGAAAATCTTTCTCTTTTATCGTACTACAAATTTTTATTTGCTATAAAAATGATAACAAATGTTATTAAGGAGAAACAAGACAACATATATTATAATTATATATATAATCCTAATATAATTCTATACTTATTCCAGATAAAATACAGTTTATGGATTACAGATATCTTTAATCAATGATCTACATAACAACTACTATCGTTTGTTTCATATTTTTGAGAGACAAAATGTAAAAGTTGAAAAATTACTCTAATTCATTTTAATTTTACTTTATATATTTATTGAAAAAAATAAAAAGAAAATGTTTTCAAATTACAAACATTTAATTTATAATTAATCTCTGAGATATCATAAAAGTATAATATACACGTAAACGTGATAGGATTGTGAAGCATAAAATGCATAAAATATCTCACTCCATAAAATGTCTGAATATAACTTTTTAAGGGAAACGAAAGAAAAGATCCTCTACTGAGATACGAAGGATTTTGATGGAAAGTTAAATTTTATGAAGTACTTCGCTTTCTGGCGTACCCACATTGGTAATCGATGGAACAGAAAATGTCTCATATTATGAAAGCTAATGCTTCTTGATAATTTGATGATCCCTTTCTTTTTACATCGAAATTCGTAGAAATTAATTTCTACGAAGAAAAAAAAGAAAATATCAAATAGCAATCAAGAATAATGTTACACGCAATGCGTAACAACATATCAACGTTACACTGACGTAACTTTGCTATCGCAATGATGAAAGAAAAAAAAATAAACAAACGAGTCGATCGATTGCGCCGCTCGTGAATGATTTTGTAACAAGAAACGAGTTTTTTATCGAAACGTGCGGCGAACAGCGTAGACCGCAAAAGAAGTAATTAACGCAAACATGGCAAATGCAAAGAAAAAAAGGTGCTTGTTTTGCGTTTTTTTTTATTATAAGAGCACGTTTCTTAATTGGACGCTTGGGAATTACGAAAGCGTCAATGATGATTGGAGATCCGAATATTATAGACAATCGTTACATTTGTCGGATTTAATTGCCGCACAGCGCAATTACTTGCACCATATAAATATTGATGCACGTTTTCGTCGATAACTGCTGCAGCGTTCATTATTACAGTCACTGTGTGCTCGATTTCCTGCTAGATGCTTTATAACAAACTCTCAAATATAAATACGTTCGGAATTCGCAGAAGAAAATTTATCGAGACTTGCCGAGAACAACGCAAAGCACTTTGTGCCCCCTCCCTCCCCCTCCCCTCTCCCCGCCAACCCCCTCACAATATCACAAGCACTTTATAATTTTATTAAAATCTTAAAATCCCTTTCGTACAGTTTTATAATTTTTAAAATACAGTTTTTATGTAATTTATTATAAAATTACATTATCGCCCATTATGAGCCGGAAAAATGCTTTTATCGCTGAGCGATTGCATTTCGCGAAAGATTGAACGATTTAGTCGGATTAAACTGAGTTGGTGCGCAAAGTAGTGCACATCGTCGATCAAATTTTGACACTCGTGATCCAGAGGGATATGTAGATCGCGTCGAAGACTAGCTTTTAATGCGACCTACGTGTACTACCTCCATGTGCGAGACTCCGCAGCGCGGCACCTGAAAGCTCAAAGCCTTAAATCCAACGTTGCCAGTGGCAACGTGCTTGGTCGATCGGTCAAAAGCCTTCTCTTGTCCATTATTTTTCGATTTTGTGTTCTCCGGCTCAAAAGCCTCCGCGACGGATATGAATTCAGACTGGTGTGTGGCGGGCATTATGCGCCTCGGGCCAGAGAATTTTCGACGGCATTCATACATCGCCGCTTTCAGCTCCGCTTCTCTGCAAGATGCATATATAGCGCATTGGAGCCAAACATGCACCTTAAAATCTCAAGTGTCATCAAATCTGATACGCTTCCGTGATACGTGTATTCTACGGCTCTTTCTTAATATCTAGGTTACACTAAATTCCAAACAGACTCCGAATACCATTATTTGATAACCAATGTTTCCTCCTTCTTTTTTCTTTTTTTTTTTTTTTTTTAATTTCTTTCTAATAAATAGAACGCAACGAGCGTAAATCGGTTCGGATTATCCACTCTTGGGACCAAATTAAGAGGTAGTAGGTCGCGAGGCCGATATTTGTAATGCAAGTATAAGCCAGATTGTGTTACGGCGATAAAGTGATACGATAGCAAATGGTGCCGGACTCTGAAACAGCGAACAATTTATATCCCGTTACGCAATAGCTTTTATAGTGCAAAAACTGCCGCTATCGCCGTCGGTGTACGTTCCTTACGTAAAAGCTTTCACTATCGCCAGTTGCATCCAAGCAATATCGCCCGATTCTAGGAACAACGTTGCATATAAGATGGCCGTAAAACCTTTTCCGCTATTTCTCTAGAGACTTAAGCAATATATCGACAGTTTCAGAAAAATTCATACACTTCTTAATAATAAACAGATATACGAGATAAAAACGCGCATAAATATAAAATGTATATTACAAGATGCAAATCGCGAAGATCTAGTAATTTCTTCTAGTATATTTTTATTTTCAAAATATGGTTAATATAGATAGAAAAAAAAGGCGTTATTCATAATATATGTGTAACAAATTCAAGTGTAACAAATTAAGTCTTAATGTAATTAATATAATTAATATAACGTAATTAATATAATTAAAGTAACAATTTAAAAAATATGTAAACAAATAATGGTAATATTTAATATCTATTTTTTTTTTATAATCTTATTAAATATAAAATTATTCTAAAATCTTGTTACTGACGGTATAAATTTTCTTGTTCCAGCATAATTAAAATTACACATAATAAAACAGGAAAATGGGAAATTTATTAAATAAATTCAAAAAACATTTTTATTTTTATATATTTACTTGTTCATATATAATAAAATTTGAAATAGTAATGTTGGAATTATTTTTAATCGATTATGCATAATCGTACGTAAAATTTAAAAAAATATCAAAACAACAACAAAGAAACTTTTATTAATTATTCAAAATTTGAAGATATTAAATATCTGCAATCAATTTCCAAATCAATTTTAATGTTTGTAAAATCATATCCAATTTTTGAAGGCTTTTGTTTCATCTGTTTTATTTTGCTGTTTCTCTCTTTACAATGTTTTGCTGTTTCTCTCTTTATATGTGTAGATAAACTACACATTTTATTTGGACAATATTCAGAATAAAATATAGTAAAAATCCGATGGGGAAAGAATAAAACTTTTATATAATAAAAGTTTATTAAATTTCTGACCGCCATACCACTATATAATTCATGATATCAGTAATTTGATACATTTAAGTTGAATTGATGTTAAAATATATATTATAAAGGGACGGAGTTTTAATCGAAGTTTATATTCACGCGCGAAATGTAGCGTAACGCAATATCTTCTCATAGTTTGTATTTTTTAGGTGAACCGTAATTCTCCATTGTTACTGACGGTTTATTCTTTATCTCACTTTGAATTTTTGAAAAATGACAAGTTTCTCGGAAATCTTTTTCAAAAACAATTAGTTGTCTGAAAGTATCGAAACATTTAACAAGTATCGAAACATTAAAAATGGTTGTGTTGTTGTTATTATAATGCATAATTACAATGTAAAAAAAGATAAAGGCGTTGTATACGTACTTAAAATAATTCTTTGCAATCTGATGTCTCCAAGTAATCTGATTTATCAAGCGTTTTGAATATATTGTTGCAAGATCATTAGTGCAATGATGTATATCAGCTTCGTCTTTTGTCAGAAGAATACAATTCCAAGGCGCCCATTCAACGTCCTTCAGATATCTGACCATTCTCAAAAGAACAATATCTTTAGTTTTGCTAACTACTGATTGATTATGCCAAATGTGATTAACCAAATGATAAATATCGTGCTCTTGTATTATAAATGCCAAAATAGAAGTGCTGCCAAGACGTTCCTCTTCAGCTTGCACGTAATTTAATATACACATATAAGGATCATAATTCACGTGCGCAATATTACGTTGACTTAGAGAACTGCAGTCTTAAAAAAATATATTACTAATTAGCTTTTTTATTAGTTCTATATTTATAAGAGAAATTATTATAAAAGAAGTTATTATAAAAGAAAAGATTGATAAGAATAAAAATGTATAAGTGCTATTAGTATAAAAATAAATGAATAAAAAATGTTATTTAGATATAAAATATTTTGCTTGTAACTAATGCTCACTAATGCAAACTGATAGTTTTTTCATTTTAGTATGTGGTACAAATTTGTGGTAAGGGAGAAGCTTTAAACAAGCCCAACAAAATTTAGTATTTATTTCTAGAGGCTCTCGCAATTCGTTGTCTTTAGAAATTTCAGTGATACATTTGCAACCGCAAATACCATATATTCTTATAAAATTCAAGTAAGTATCTATAATAAAAATACATTTATTATATTATTACACAATATAGCTTTTTGCAAAACAAAATATTAGCTAGACATTAGATAAAGATAAAATGGAAGTTTCTAGGAAATACAAAATTTTGTTTCTTTTCTTGCCTAATTAAATGTTGTGTCAAATAAGATTTATAAAAAATTAACATTATTTTTTTTAAACTCTTTTAAATTATATTTATTAATAAACTTTATCTCTCTTAACATTGATAATTTATATATTATTAATAGCTAACATAAGCTAATATTAGTTATTATTAAAAAAATTGATCATTAGCGTCAATTATTTTCTCAATTTTCATTAACTTTATTAATAATATTATCACGTAATATTAACAGTCTTACGCGCTATTCTTTCATTTAAATAAGCGAGTGATAATAAACTCGCAATCTTTCGATTTAACAACACGATCTCTTGATCCAACAAATACAACAAATCAAGAGCCTCGATACAATTATGCTCTGCAATCGATTTTTTTAATGTTATCAATAACTTCATCCGTTCTTCTAAACTAACGTTATGGTTGCTCAATACATCATAGAATTTTTTAAATTCTCGAGCCTTTTGAATTCTTATAGTGATCATCTCCACAAGTTTGCCCTTATAACCGTGCCATCGTATCGGCCTGCAATTTACTGTTAAAAATCTAAGAGCTCTTTGTTTCCTATAAGAAAACTTGATTGCTTGTTTATGTTTATCGATGTGATTAAACATCTCTACTGTCTTTTCTAAGATTTTGTAATTCTCAGCATGCTGATCCGCCTCTTTTAGCCGTGATTTTATATCTTTCAAACGATCGGTTCTCCATGTTTCGATCAAACTATAAAGCATATCAAAGTCTGCTCTTGAACGTGGATACATTTGACGAAGAATATTTTGTTTATGTCGTAATCTATAAAAAAGATGTAAGAATTTTATAGCACGCATATAAAATATAGTACAAGGCCAATCAAATATGTTCAAAAGTGTTATGCATAAAATTATTCCGCGAAACCAGATATGAAAAAATTACTTTGATCATTTGAAATTACAAAGTTTTTTCTTTTATTTTATTTGAATGTTAAAATATATTCAAAATATATTCAAAATCAAAGTTTTTTAAATCTAGCTTTTTGCATAAAATTAATATTATCTCAATAAAAATATATTTCGCATAATTTTTTAAATAAATTTCTGCTTAAAGTTTTTCTTTTAAGATTTTGCTACACAAGAATGATTAAAAAGTAATTAATAAATTAAATATAAAAAAATTTTTTGTTCAAAAAGATTAATATTGTTTAAATGAAAGATACAAAATAAAAAAGTACGTAAAACTTAAAACACTCTTTTTTTTTTAATTTTAAATTACATATAAGCTTAGGGTAGTATGTAAATAATTATTTTAATGATTATTTTTTAAGTAATTGTATTTAAGTAATTATATTTTATCGCTTTAAATATATAAAACTAAAGAAAAGAGCGAATTAGCGTACTTAAAAATTTATATACACGATCTGATTCCTAATGTATACCGCATGTGAACAAGTAGAGCAAGTCAAACTGAGCAGAAAAATCCTCTATCATTTTGCAATTTTCGCACTGAATTATTAAAGATCGCGTATTAAAATGAGCGCGTATTAGCGCACTGGTCTGTGCGATCTACTTGGTACTACAAATGCTTCAAAACATTTTTCGATTGATCAATTCATAATATTCTTTTTTTTTAATTGGTTAAGCAAATGCTTCGAAGTATTTGCTAGCAGCAAATGATCGGGAATTCACCCTTAGATGTGACAGTCAAATGACAAAACATCTGCTTATAATGCACACTTTCAAACATTTCGTCGCGCTTGGGGTTTTTCGTTTACATAATTTTTTCAGTTTTTCTCAAATCATATTTCATTTTGAATCGTGGCCTGTATTAGCATTCGTTTGGAAGCCATGGCCATGATAAGAAATAAGAAGAATTTTTACTAACCGCGAACGCGCGTAACGTTAAGTGATCACATCTCGCTGCATATTTGTCATTCGCAAGTGGGCCGTGCAGATGCGCGCTATATATTTCTTCTTTTTCACACCGGCCAAATTACTTGTGTGCATTGATTTTCTCTTCTTTGTATCTTTGACGTTTATAAAGCATGTTGCGATTAGCTTGAGCGCATTCTTTAATACGTTTCTTCAATCTATATGCTCGGTAATTTCGTTGAATTATACGTGCATGCCGATCTAAATTAAGCTGCATTTCAGCATAACTTTCATAAAATTTCACGGTCATATATTTATCTGCTTCGTTAGGTATGTAACAGTCATCTCTAAATTAATAACATAGAATATTTAGTTTACATAATATATAGTTATATTATTTTTTTATATATATTGAAATTTTTTTTAGAAGTTTAAAAACATTTCTCAATTTTAAAATATTAGATACTTAATATTTAACTGGATATCTATTTTAATTCATTTCTTATATAATTCTTTGAATCTAATTATAAATTAACGTTTTTAATTGAAAAAATTTTTAACTTAAAGAATAATAACTTATGTAATAGTCATAAAGAATAAGTAAAAATGCAGTTTTGTTTTTGCATAAAGAAATTCATTGTTTTACTTAGCATAGAATAAAAATTTAAATTAAGAATATTAAAATTTCGACATTTTAAACAAACGATAATAGTAACGAACAATTTTGACAAACAGAATCTTAGGCGCTTAATAATCTAATCGTTTTCTTTATTCTTTTGAATTTATATATATATAAATTCAAGATATGAATGCTTATGTCACCAAAAATAGATTATTAGATATCTAAGAAATGCATACCCAAATTGCTCATTATTATTACCGCTTATTAGAACATTCTCAACTTATTGCAGTGAATTGATTTTTCGATATTTTCTTTATTGCTTAACTGTCTTGATAATTTATAAATAATTACATTGTTATAAATATAAGAAAATAATAATTTTAGTATTGCTTAATATAATATATTGTCTTCATAATTACATAATAACATAAATAAAATTATTTGCTTTGAAGAGACAGTTATAACATCGGATATTTTATAAATTTAATTATATTTAAATATTTAATACCGCCACATTTGTGTTGCACAATGACGCAGTGATTGTGTTTCTTCGTCTTTCGTTTGCACACATTGCACTGCTCTGCTCCGAGTGTCTTTCCACTCCCGCTTTGGCAAAGGTCCAGTTTGAGAAGTTGCATTTACATATTTTATTCCAGTAATTTTATGTCGCCACCCACCTAGAAAAGGCTTAAGGATCCTTTGTTTCTCTATTGCAACTAACAAGACCATTTTAAGGAATATAATGGCTAATAAATCGTTTCTTCTGTTTATATCAATAGCAAACTTCACGAACACACATACTTAAGTGATGCCTAGCCTAAGATATTACACATTGATCTTTTTATATGTGGTACGTGATTCTCTTAGATTATGATTTTAATTGCATATATAATTTAGCGAAGATTTCAAACATAATACTCTACAAGTTATCATTATGTCTTAGTATAAAAAACAAAAATGAATTATACATTCTCATGACAGTATGCACCATTTATTTATAAGTATTTAAATAAAACTTTATTAAATTACAATATTTGTCAGCAAAAATAGAAAAATAGATTGATATTTTTTGTATTTATAAACAAAAAAAATATTTAAAGGGAAAGAGTTAAATATGAAATAATATTTAATATTAAAAGTTATAAGGAAGAGAATTTTCATTCACAAGGATCAAATACTACATCGCTAAAATGATAAGAAATGATAAGATGCGAGAAAATCGTATCTATATTTAAGAGTTTTATCACTTTTTATGCTGCGGAACATATTTACAACTCACATCAATTTGCAATTCTTAAGACTAATACATTTATTCATAAATTCATCATATTTTTTTTAGTTTGAAAATAAGTATAATTTTATAGAAAACAAAAATTTATGTACAAATATTATTTCCTTCCAAAGTTACATAAAAATAGCACCAAATGTGTTTCAGATTTACAATTGATTTTAAGATTTACAATTATTTTCAAACAATGAAAGGAAATACATGAAACAAAGAGATCAGTTAAAAATATTTAAAATAAAACAAAATCAAATTAAATTTATATTTGCGTTTTTAGTGAAACTAAAATAAATAGCATGTCCTTTATATCATGAAAATATTGTGATAGAGATATGTAATTTATTTAATTACAATTTATTTAAGTTATTTTAATCAGAGGAAAATGCCGATGACAAGAAAAGTCAAAGACTGGTGGTTCCTTCGAGTCTTTTTTATGTCCATCAGCCAACAATTTCAGCACTACAAAATTCGTCTTTGCAATTTTTAATAAAGTGTTGATCTATAAAACATCAAATAGTAAAAATAATATTCTAAAGCAATTATATGTGATCATAATCATATATGATCATAAAGAAATCATATATGATCATAGTTTATAATTTTATAAACTTACTTCATTTTCCATTAAACTATTTGCTTGATAAAGCAATAACGCACGTTCTAACATATTTCTAGCTTGATGAAAATGTCGGCAACCGGCAATATATTGCATTTCACTGGTAACTTTTTCCTACAAGAATAAATAGTTATAAGTAAACTTAAATTATAATTTTTATTTATTTAACTAGAATCTTAAGAATAATATTTATATCGCAATTTCTAGATTTATATTATGATTTAATAAATGTAAATCTGATGAAACATTAAACTTACATTTCTCTTATGCATTTGAGCGTTCGTCATATCTAAAAATTCTTGATAATGAACGGGTGGTGGAGTTAACAAAGATGAGAACGGTAATAATCGATGTTCATATCTCACTCGTTCAGAATCAAACTGTATCTCTGGAAGTGGTATTTTTTCATCCATTCGGAAACCGACTAGAGCCTAAAAATTTTATGATTTTTTTTTTATATGCTAAAAATTATATATTCTTAACCTGTAAATTATTCTTATAAAGATTTATTTACTTTATAATATCCACCACATATATTTTGCAATGCCTGATACATCAATATTTCCATATTGTATGGTCTCGGCGTCGATTTTTTCTTCTTATTTTTGGAACTCTTTTTGCTTCTACCTTTATGAGTATCATTGTGTACGTCTTGTTCCATTAAAAATGTATCAGCTCGTGTAATCGCAGATACGAGCCAACCATACAAAAACTCGTATAGATACCAAAAAATATAATGGTATTCATGCACTGAATATAATTCAAGTTCAAAGCCACTTAACAGATACATGACCATCACACGTAATGTATGATACAAAATCCAGGTACCAAAACAGGCCAAATGAGGCCTTGGTGTATCACTTTTTAAAGATAGAGTGTGCAAATATCCATCAACTCTTTCCGCCTAAAATAAAATATGTATCCTCTATAATATTAATTTTTACTACTATTACATTAAATGAGATGCTTTATTTTAAAAAAATGGAATTGTTGATATTCTTTCTCCCCAATGTCACAAAGCTCTTTTAAGTAGAATCAATAAAACATATAAGT